TCTTTGAGGAGAAACAGGGAGAAGTTTCGGTCACATCACGCGCGTTCTACCAAAGTAACAAGCAAAATATAGCTTCACACAATCTTCAAACAATAATCTTACTAACAACGCAGAGAATACAGTTTTAGAGATCAAAGAATGGATTTGCAATGTCGCTTTTTTCTTGTCTTCGAAACTTCGCTGGAACGCACTAAGAACGCTTGCCTTCTGGTCATTCGCGTTTGATCGTGAGCTGGAAGTCTGAATGTAGTGACATTGACACAGCCAAAGAGGTATTGAACGTCGTCTCGAAATTTCAATCGATAAATATTAAGGAATTAATGAAATATATTGGAATTCACTTCTCTTACCAGATTTTCCTTGAGTTTCACCGCCGGTTATTTACGAGCTATAGAGAACTGAAATAGCACTCCTAATTTAGCCATTTTAGCAACGTACATGTGACCTGTGACGTCAAACTTCCACAAGCATGCTGCGCAGGGGCACTTAAACTCGTAAAGACATCGGAAACCAAAGACCTTAATCAATCTCCCGGTCAGTTAAGAATAAGCCTTAAATAACAGAAATTCCGGCAACCAAATAATACTGAGTCGAATAACTGATTTGTGCCTCGCGAAATTTTCGCGTGCTCTCGATGGCTGCTTAAACTACGGCGTTAAGTATTTGTCATGATGTTGCTGCAAAGAGTAACGCTACTCAATCTAACGAGCCTACAAATACAAGTCGAAAAGTGTGAACCGATCGTTATGGCAACGACAAGAAATTGAAACGGGAATCACAAAAAGTAATCGAGAGAATAGTTGTAGTTGTCTGATATCTTACACATTTCATTGCACGGTGCTTATTTCAATATATACAGAAATGCAGAAAATAATCTTGTGCGATTGGAGTGCTAAGTTTTTAAAAAGGAGTCCAGTCTGACGCGAAATATACTCTATCTGATGCATAACATTTCTACAAATGTATGCTAGGAAATTCAAAATATACTTCCGCGTTTATAAGGCATATAAAAGAGTGTTATTAGAACCTTTGTTCAAGGTTAACATTCAAAAATTCGTATTACTAAATCATTCCTGTGTCAAATTAACAACGAACCGTTTCTTACTCACCTCTTTTTTTTTTTTGCCCAGCTACAACTCTGATGGAATACAGTCATGCCGTCTCATACACTCTCAATGTTTAGAAAGTTATTGAGATCGATTACTTATTCTAAACGTGCACGTGGTCAGGTATTCATCTAATTAGATTTGGTTATGACCTTCATTAATCGCGTGACTACTGATTTTCACATAGCGTGACAAGACACCGCTGTTGAGTATGGCGATTCATGGAAGGTTTTTTCCTTTCCTTTGTTCTTTATACTTTTCAACTGATAGAAAAGACCATACCCTAAACATTAAAATCGAATATTTAGTAAGATGTTGTTGCTGTTGTCGCTTAGAAGAAGAAAAAAGGGAAGGAAACATCGTTCACATACCTTTAAGAAGATTAAGTGCGACTTTTTTAGTCAGAATTATAATAACTTCGACAAGTTGACCACCCAGAAAATTAATGTTTGCACGACATACACACCACAACGGTGTCTGTACATCTCACATACATCAGTCAGTCACTAAGTGTGAGATACCTTCCTTTATTTATATTCGGGAGTCGGTGTCATATCGAGTATTAGTGATTGCCTCGTTTTGAAAGAACATGCTTCTCTGTTCGAGAAGATAGAAGTATCTGGGATGCAAATTTCTCAATTTTCTGTACAAACCGCAAAGCATTTACATAATTTTTTCAAAGTTTATTACTTGTTCAGTTATATCACAGCACTAATTAGAGACACCTGGCAGATTCATTTTGCAACGAGAATAAGAACAAATATTCATAGGCAAACCACTGGAAAATTCTCTGGAAATTCTCAATCTACAAATTCATTAGCTACTCAACCAAATTGTGTTCACTAAAACCACTTTAATCCTAGATTTAAATCATGATGACAAAATGTCGAAACGATTCCTGCATTTGATTTAATTTCATACCATGTTATGCCCAAACGTGCTACAAGAAACTAAATTATGTACAGTCTATTACTCAGACTACAGTTAACTATACTACAAATGACTTTTCTTTTTTAATTAGGAACTATTAGTACACTGCTAGGTCCGTCCCATGCACTTCAAACTTAAGCATTTTTTATTGCTTGCCTGGTAAAGACAACACTGACCAAAAGTCTTACAAATTATTCTTTGTATGTGTGTGTGCATTAGAGGTAATAAATTTCCTAAAACTATGTGACTAAAATATAAGGTTTACATGTAAGACTTTTGTACTCAAAAAAATACTAATAACTGCTGAGTTCTGAAAAAAATTAAAATCTTCTTTCTAATATCTGATAGTTAAAAGTTGAAGAACTCTAAGTTCATACAACGATACTTCATTAACACATTATAGCTTTGCAAGGATGGTCAATTTTGCCTAACAAAGAAGAATTTACGGATCAATATCAGTATCTGGGCAACTGCCCACCTACCCCTCCCCTAACCCAACAACAGTCAATTAATGACAAGTGAGGGTTAATGTTGGGGGAGGGGTAGGTGGGCCGCTGCCCAGATACTGATAGTGATCTGAATTTACCAAGTGTTATGCTGGTGACTAAAACAATTAGCTCTCAGCTTTGTAATTTGTTGAATTATCCGCTCAGAGATAAAGCTTGGCCGTCAGCGTGTTGCTGTTAGATGGAACTTGAATGTTGACTTTTTCAACCACGCGTCTGGTTACTTCTGACAACATCTCTAGCAAATGGCTGTCCTGATGATGTTTTCTGATAACATCCACAAGAGTCTGGTCAGGACCACAGCAAAAGATTAGTTGTTGCCCCTATTGACATTTGGGGGCCCTCCTAGTTCTAAAGAGCTTCGGTCCATAACTAATGGACTTAAAAAGGGTTGATGAGCGCATAATGTCTCCTTACAATATCAACACATCGTCAACTAAGTAGCAGTGAGAATTAGAAATTGTCAACTGGGAAGGTACTTTCTTGATATAACAGCAAATTATCATGTCAGCAATATGTAGCAGCCAGGAAATAGTGAATAAGCAGATTAAGAAAGAGTGTTGAGTGACTTATGTATAGGAGTGCACAAGTACCTCTCTTAATAATGACACCAAAATCTGAAAAGATATATCCTCTTAGTTGATCATAACAGTGAAATACCCTGTATGCAGGATGACCAGGCTTGAACATAACAAAAATTAAAAAGCTAATAATAATAATAATAATAATAATAATAATAATAATAATTATACAACAACAATAACAACAACAATAAAAAGCATAAATATTTTCATGCTCACCTGAATGAATGGTGAGCCATGATTCTCATATCGGTAGCAATAACACCCAGGGGTGGTTGCAAAGGCCAACAAAAAATCAGCCTCATGTGCGCTTGTTCCTTTTGAGAGGGTGGAATCAACATGAAGCTTACCCACAATGCTGTCCATGAAATTATTTTCATGCAACAGAGATTCGGAGAGAGACTTCCTACAGAATTGAAAAATGAACACTTTAGGTTTTTCTTTCAGTGTTTCGCACCTCGCAGCATTAAATTCGGACGTCATTTCTTCAACAGTTACAATTCTTCCATCTACACCTAAGATAGTATCATGGTCTCCTCCATGGGACATCACAATGCAGATGAAGGCATCAAACTTGCTGTGATCCTCACTTGCTATGGTCCTTGCAAGACCTCTCATTCCACATGAATCAAGATTTCTGTGGATTTGCACATCAAATGAGAGGTTCCCAAAAAGGGCTTCCAGGGTTTGTTCATCATACTCAGTACCAGGGCGATTATAGGCTTTATCATGGAAGTCGAAGTTATTCATGATGATACACTTCCCTTGAGGGTTTCTGTTCATTTCATAACTTTTGGGAAGAGAGGACCCTAGCAAAAACATTCAAAGAAGTAAAAAATAATATAGATCAGATCTTTAGGAATTCTCTAGGAATTCTCAAGGGCAATATATAGCACCATGAAGTTTTAACGCAAAACAAAGGGTTAATCATTTATAATTGCCATTAGTTCTGATATTCTGAGATACAGATACACTAAATACACTAGGCCATATGCAAAATTATTTCAAAGGAAAAAAAACCTGATGTTTTGGATTGATTAGTTGTTGTATTTAGTATAGGCAGTTTTTTCCTGAGGAATGTAAAGTGTTGTTACATAGCAACTAATTTTGCATTGAAGCTTTGTCAGGGGTTGAACCGGCCACTACAAACATATTTCTTCGTGCTTGTTTTTTAGTTTCAACCAATATTGCAACAAAATTAGGTTATTTAACATATGATCCATACACTCTTGAGTAGGCATTAATAAAAACTATTACAATATTCCTTCTATTACCTGCCTAAAGGCTGAAGAGTGGACTGAGAAAATTAAAATGAGTCATAAGATTTTCCATGAGAAAATTAAAGTAAGTCATGAGATTTAATTTTCCATGATAATAATAATAATACATATGAAAGAAAAATTACTGATACGGACCTGGTTGGCTATTCAAAATTGCTTCACACACAGCATAGTATCGGCCAGACTCCCAGGATTCTGACTTGAGGAAGTCACCAAATTTGACCAGCAGAACACAATTACTAACACCCTGATTGGAAAAAGGAACCTGAACATGTAGATGAACCTCCTCAACACCACCTCCCCCACTGCAGCGGCAGTTGTTCTTCAAAATGCATTCTTCATTTTGTAGGGTTTTAAATTTGATTTGTCTGTCCACAAGTGTTGCCTCTTTCACACTGATAAGGGCACAATCAGGACTGGAACCATCTTTAGCATCTAAATAGATCTTCAAATTTTCAATCTTAACAGTCGGAAAGCACTCTTTCATCCCTTTGATCCCCTGATAGACAACAGCTTTATAACCTGTACCACCAAACTTTAGTTGAGAGAGAATAATACTCATATCCTGTCGACAGAAAGTAAAGTAAAACTGATATA